CTTCATTTTGTCACTTCCTTCATGTTGTAGTTACGCTTCATGGCTCATGACTTATTATTCTCTTGCCAATGAACCTAACTCCTGCCAGTGAACCTTGCCTAGGTATATTCTGCCACCATATTTGCCAGGCAAAAACTCAACCTTTGTTCAGTGCTCACAGCCAAGCACCTTAGCACTGCTATAGAAAAACCACACAACTATTGATTGGTGTTACTGTAAGTCCATTCATAATTTCCAACCTCAGTGAAATCCTCAATACATTCCAGCAACCCTAAATGTCTAGCCAATTCTTTTTCCCATTCCCTACAGTATCTATTTCAAAAGTTCTGCACCCATCTCAATCCCCCAATCTTACAATCATTTCCTTCACTCTCAGAAGATAAACTTAACTTCTTTCTTTACAAACATTCCCACTATCAGACACAGACTTCTTACACTTCTGGCTAACAAATTTACAGACTTACGAATGTCTTTCGCTTCCTTTCCTGTGCAGGTGTTCCTCCCCCTGTCTAAGGCTAATTTCTCTGTCTTTTTTCTGTATTGCATTCCCTCTCACCTCTTTTTTTTTTTTTTTTAACATCTTTATTGGAGTATAATTGCTTTACAATGATGTGTTAGTTTCTGCTTTACAACAAAATGAATCAGTTATATATATACATATGTTCCCATATCTCTTTCCTCTTGCATCTCCCTCCCTCCCACCCTCCCTATCCCACCCCTCCAGGCGATCACAAAGCACCAAGCTGATCTCCCTGTGCTATGCAGCTGCTTCCCACTAGCTATCTACCTTATTACCTTTGGTAGTGATATATGTCCATGCCTCTCTCTCGCTTTGTCACAGCTTACCCTTCCCCCCTCCCCATATCCTCAAGCCCATTCTCTAGTAGGTCTGTGTCTTTATTCCTGTCTTACCCCTAGGTTCTTCATGACATTTTTTTTTTTCTTAACCCTCTCACCTCTTCAAAGGACTAATTAAATTGACTGATTACTCCCTGTCTTAAAGCTTCAACTTTTCTTTCTCTACTGGCTCATTCCTATCAATGCTTATACATATTCTAACCCCACCTAAGTACAGTGTGCTGCAAGGGCTCTGAGCCATGCTTCTAGGGTTCAGACCCCATAGTTGTCACCTACTACCTCTGTGATTGTAGGTAAATTACTCAGCATTCTTTTTTTTTTTTGCGGTGTGAGGGCCTCTCACTGTTGTGGCCTCTCCCATTACGGAGCACAGGCTCCGGACGCGCAGGCTCAGCGGCCATGGCTCACAGGCCCAGCCGCTCCGCGGCATGTGGGATCTTCCCGGACCGGGGCACAAACCCATGTCCCCTGCATTGGCAGGCGGACTCTCAACCACTGCGCCACCAGGGAAGCCCCTACTCAGCATTCTTTGTCTCAGTTTCCTTATCTGTAAAAATAGTAGATGACAGTACCTACATACTTAGGTTATTATAAAAAAAAAAACAGTTCTATTTAAAGCACTTGAAACGTGCTTAGTATATAAAAGGTTCTTAATATATGTGAGCTACTTTTATTATCATTCAAATTATTTTCTGTTAACAAAGTAGATTTAGAAATCTCAGATATCTAGACACATACCAACAGAGGAAGCAGAGGATCAGATAACTAAGCATTAGTTAAAATTGCCTTTAGAATACATTTTTGTTATTCATTTGATATACATATAGGATCTTGCTTTTAAAAATATAATGAAGTATACTAAGTGAACTAAATCAGAGAAAAACAAACATCATATATCACTTATATGCGGAATCTAAAAAAAGGATACAAATGAACTTGTTTACAAAACAGAAACAGACTCACAGACATAGAAAACAAACTTATGGTTACCAAAGGGGAAGGAGAGGGAGGGATAAATTAGGAGTTTGGGATTAGCAGAAACAAACTACTATGTATAAAACAGATAAACAACAAGGTCCTACTGTAGAGTACAGGGAACTATATTAAATATCTTGTAATAAACTGTAATGGAAAAGACTCTGAAAAAGAATATATATATATATAGATATCTCTGAATCACTTTGCTGTACATCAGAAACTAACACAACATTGTAAATCAACTATACTCGAATAAAATTTTTTTAATATAATGAATTACATTCAAGATCAAAACAGGAGGATCCAGGAAGTTATTTTCTCCACCTTAATCTTTACTCACTCCCATCTGCAACTCATTACATGCTGAGAATAAACAAGACAGTCTTTCAGCATCTCCCAGGCTAAACTAAGCAGGGTGGCACCTTCCCAAAGTGACTGTGGAGCTGGAATGTGCTTATGTTTCAAAGGCTTCCTTGTGGAATGGAAAATATGAGCAAACAGAGAGTGTGCATGGCATCAAAGTAAGTGGCTTACTCAATAAGAAACTGGGTTTGTCCTGGGTAAACTACCATGCTGATTTCCAAAACAGAGATTAGAAGAGAGATTGACTGATTATTCTGTTTTATGTTTATTTACTAACATTTATGTTCCAACAAGCCAAAAGTCATGTTCCACTCGTAGAGGCCTGAATCCCCAGTGGCTCCCCTTCTATTTGAACTGAGGAGGACATTGACCGCCTCCATATCCGCATCTGGGTTTCCCACTGCAGTGATTGACTCACTGCCTATTGTTTCCACCTCACTTCCCTTCAGCTGGATCCTAAATAACAGGCTATAATTTCCCTCTACCTCTGACAAACAGCTTCACATTCAGTGACTGGCAAGGCATTTCAGATGTCAATCCAAAAACCAAGCCATGCTGTAGAAGACGAACGTCAGAATTATGCTGTTATTAAATTTTTTTTCTTCTTCAGAAGCTGCAGGTTTCCAGCATGTCTCCTTTCCAACCATGTCAGAAATTCTCTCCCTTATTACTTCCTCTGTTCTGTAACTTTCTAAATCTGACTACATACACACACACACACACACACACACACACACACACACACACATACACATATATATGCATATATATACATATATGCAATTCACCCCCTTATAATTATGAAAGAATTATCAACACATCCTTTTAGTAATATGAGGAGAAAAAATTCTCTTTATATGCCTATCTCACATTCTCCCTTCTGGCCAAAGGGTAAATTACAATATAGGTTTTTCACCAAGCAGAATTTAGAGTCAAAAAAGCAGTTAATACAACACATTGGGAGAGTAAAATATACTAGAAAAATGAAGGGCTGTGAAATCTGACAGACTGGATCCAAGCTCTACTGCTTATTAATTTGTGACTTGAAGCAAGTCTGCTGAAGTTCTCTGAGCCTCGATTTCTATATATATAAAACAGCAAAATATTACTTACTTTCCACAGATGTCGTGAGGATTAAACTTACACAAATTGCCTAAAATAGTGCAGATGCCACAGGAAATATTCAAAAATTGGTAGCTATGATTATTTTTCAAGTCAGTTCCACTTTCTACTTTCATGATTCAGTAACTCTTAAAGGTAATTTAATTCCATTATAAGTCGGAGGTTGGTGGGTTTTCTCCTCATAATCAGAACTGCTTTCTGAAGATGACTAATGTTGGTAAACTAAAGCTCCTTCCTTCTGAATATCCTAATAGTTTTGGTTTACAAATTTGGGAGTAATCAGTAAGGAGGGCTGAACTGGAAATTTTTGAGCTCTGGGAAGATGGGAGGAAAGGCATGAGAGAGGAGATCTTGGAAGAGATGAGCAAGAAAGAGGCTAAAACAGGATGAGACCAGAAACTTCTTTTGGCTTAGGTTGTGGAAGGACAGACAATTTAAGATAGAGGATCTCAACTGTTTTCGTCGGATGCATTGGCACTATGAGGTAGACAATCTCTCCTCTATGTTCCCTCTAAATCTTCAGGAATTTCCCCTAAAGCCATTATTGTTTTGTGTGAGTAGATTTTGTGTTGAAATCAATCAACAGGATTAGTTTAGGTGTGTATGATAGAAACAGCCTGCAAGAAGCAGAAGCCTGCAGAGGAAACCTTGAGACCATAAACAAAATTTTAAAGTTTGGCAGTATGGATGCGGGCAAGGATGTGGAACACAGGCCACTCTTCCACACTGCTGGTGGGGTATAGATTGGTCATATATAGGTTTTGGAAACGTTAGTGAAGTGTAACCTAAACATAGCTTACAAAGCAGCAATTCGAGTTCCAGGTGTCTGCACTAGAGAAGCTCATTTGTATGACTGATACAAAATATAAGATAGTGGTTGTATGGGCAGTACAGGTAGAGAAGATGTGACAGAGAGAGGTAGATAGGAGCCTTTAAGTCACTGGTAATATTCTATTTCTTGAGGTGGTTGGTGGGCATATATAGTCCTGTTTGTATTATTAGTTTTCTCCAAACTGCAAGTATATGTTATTCACAGCCTTTTGTACATAGAAATATTTCATAATTTAAAAAAAAAAAACATTTTTAAGTAAGTTGACACTGTGGCAGTGGTTAGGAGACTATCACAACCAGTCATGAGCAGGGCCTTGGGTTTTAACACCCACACAGGGACAGACCATCAGGTTCTGGACCCACATGGAGTATGGAGTTCAAAATGAGGCAATGGATATTTCAGCTTGAATGACATAAATTAAAAGTATCATTGCGCTATAACACAGATTTAAAGAATATATATTCCTAAATAGTGAATGTAACATAAAAGAAGAAGACTCACAGATATAGAGAACAAACTGGTGGAAAGGGGAGGGTGCAATATAGGGGTGAGGGGGGTGGGAGGTACACACTACTGTGTGTAAAATGGGCTCAAGGATGTATTGTACAACACGGGGAATAGAGCCAATATTTTGCAGTAACTGTAAATGGAAAGTAAACTTTAAGAATTGTATTAAAAAATTTTAAGAATAAATAAAACATTTCTTAAAAAAAAGAAAATGTATTCTTCTTAAGCCTATATAAGACATTTCTAAGAATTGACCACATATGAGGCCACAAGTAAATTCTCAACAAAATACCCAAAAAAATCAATATCATATAAATAATTATCTCTGGCAACAATTCACAGATTAGAAAGAAATCAAATCAATGTAATTAAGTACCTGGAATGTATAGGAGAGGATATTTCCACTCAGTCTGTAGAAATCTCTCCCATCCCCACTAAACACCTTTCTGCATTGACCACCAAAACTTTTAGTGTTGAGGACTTTGTTCCTAAACTGGCCTGTGAGTGCATTGTAACTGTTTTTAAAAAAATGAAAGAAGAAAAGGCTGTTAAAAACCAGAAACACCACTTGCTGAAACAGGCATCATTAGAGAACTCTAGATATTCTTGAAATACATTACAGTTAAACATCTCTGGGAGAGCTCAAATAAAAAGCCTCCTAAAGCACACTATGCATTACCCAACTCCCCCTGCTTGCTATAATGGTTAAAACTAATAGCTGGGGAAACCAAACACCCTTTTAGCCTAAGAACTTATTTAGGAAACACACAGCCCTTTTGTATCTATGGCAACAGCTGGTTTTGAATTGAATCTATAGATAAAACCAAACAATTAAGATTACTCTTGAAGAGAGAGAACTCTCTACAATGATTTACAACTAGTCGGCCTCTTAGCATGCTAACTGGTATACTCTTTAAAGTAATTTTACCATTCTTCCATTAATGAATTTCATAGTAGTATAGAAAAATCACATCTAAGCAAAGAGATCATCTTAAAACCTTGAAACTTTAACTTGGGTCTGACTGTTAAAAGTTTTTCAGAATTCTTTTTAAAAAGGCTAACAGGATTGCCTCAACTTCACTTGAAAGTTCCCAGCTAGTTTAGGTGATTACTTTTCAGTCTGAGTGTTCCAACACACTTTCTCTCTTCTTCCGCTGCTCTCATTCTGTTGTCTCTTCATTCCCTTAAGTAGCCGCACATCATTGAATTAGTTCTCCCCACTTCCCTCCCATAGGGGGACTGACTGGCCAGGTTTTCCCAAGTCTGAGGGGTTTCCTTAGACACAGGACTTTCAGTGCTAAACCCAACAGTCCAGGGACAACTGGTCCCTCTATGCTTTACCACATATATTTACAGGTATATAGATAGGAATTTTTAAATTGTTTCAGGATGTGGCAAAGAGCTCTAAGCAAAGTTTTGACTATTAGGTGATTTGTTATCAGACTTACCAAACCACAAAATAAAACACAACAAAATAAAAACTACAACCCATCGATGCATACAGGAAGACACCCAACACCTTACCCATGTCCAGTAAGTTCTATGTTGGGAGGAGGTTTATCGAGGTCACAGGAAGGCCTGCTTTCTGAGTCCTCACACCTGTCTTCATCAGCACTGTCCTCTTCACAGTCAGAATCCCCATTGCAAACCAAAGATCTGCTGATGCACTGACCTGAACACAAGAAAAGCCACCACACAAAAATAAAAGAGGTGAAAAGGAAAATGCTACCTGGGATCAAAAGATTTCATCCTGGACCCTCAACACAACACTGATACTCTAATGTGAGTTTGAGATACACCCTCAGTGCCCAGGGAAGGACTGCTGACTATTTTGGTCCTCATTTTTCAACATACAAATTGATTCTGACCTTGGCTGGACACAAAATTGAAAACAGAACCTGAATTCAAATTCCAGGCTCTCACCCATAGCCATCAAGCACTTTGTCTGAATTCTCCAAAATCACTCAATGCCAATCAATCACTGGGAAGACAGATTGACTTCCTGCCCTTCAACTTTCCATTTCTCTTCTGTAATCACTGACCAAGATGCCAAAGTGCTGTCTTTCTTGGTGATTTAGATATATATGCTTTGAGAGCATGGGAACTGTATTAAAAGATTAAAATTCAACATTTCTTTAGCACCTTCTCTGTTCAGGACACTCTTGGGTGTTGGGATACAAAGATGAATAAAAAGGTTATTCACCAGGATTTTCATATACTTTACAATCTAATAGGAAATAGTATGAATTTAGATCATTACAATTCAGCAATGTAATTGTTGTGATAGATATAAGTCCAGGGTACCAGAAGCACAAGGAAGCACTAGAGGATACCAGATGATCTAGCCCCTGCCTCCCTCCTCAGCATTATATCCAACCATTCTCTTACTAGCTTCCTACACCCTAGTCATACTGGATCATTTACATAAATCAAAGACCAACTTTTTTTGCCATCTCCACTGACTTTGCACCTACAGTTCTTCAAAAATCAAATCACACATTACCTCCTCTCACCCTTGCTACACAAGCTACAATGTATGCCCTTCATTTGTGCCCTTATATTATGCATGGCACAAAACTGTCCTGATAGCACATCCCACTATGCTGTCACTTGATCCAATGCAGCAAATATTTGTTGAGAGTCTACTATGTATCACACACTCCAGATGCAAAAATAAAAGAAATATAATACACACCTTCAAGGAGTTCAGTCTACCAAAAGATATCCAGGGCAACAAATACTTCAGATTACAGACGATACAATGCACATAAAGAACACAGAAAAGTAATCTGTTAAACAGCTCTATCAGTTGGGCTTTTAGGGTAGGTCTCCCTAAGGCAGCGTCATCTGATTTGGGTTTGACAGTACAATAAGAGTTTGACAGGTATTGTTGAAAAACACGTCTAACACAGGAAATATTTATGTACTATTTTGCCCATAAAACTTTAAGAATTTTGAGGGAAGAGGCTATGTGTTTCATTCTACATCCACAACCCTCATTTCTGTATCTGGAACATAACAAGAATAATAAATGTTAGCAAAAAGTTGTTGAATTAACCTTTCTGCACAAATGCAACATAGACAATAGGTCAAATGTTATTCAATCCAAAACTGTTTCATTTCCCCATGCATAGAGATGACCCGTATTGCTCCTTGATTAACTAATTAGAGTTGCTTTTCTTGTAAACATAAAAATAATTTGGGCAGTAATATGGTTTTTGCTCAATTTCAGTCTTCATTCCAGACTCATTCCACATCTTCACCAAAATGCAATGTCAAGAACTGCTTGGGTCTGTCAATAGCCATATTTTTTTTCAAAGAAGCAAAGAGTACCCCCACCTTTATTACCAGATGACACCCATGCATTTAAAAGAATGACAGTTGAGTGTGTAACTAATATGCCAATAAAAATCCAACTGATTTTGGGGAAAATTAATTTATAGGCTAATATAAATGCAGTACAATTCAACAAATACATACTGAGCAAATTAAACAAAGAGCATTTGAACTTACACTCTGCGTGCCGAACCTATGGGAAGCAAATACCTGAAAAACACCTGAAACGTTCTCCACACCCCTCTTCTGTTGGACATCCTCGTGTAGGTTCACACGATTGTGGTTCAAAAGCACTTCCAACACAGGGATGGCCGCCATACTGCCCATAAACAGTAACTGACCGCCTGCGAGTCTAAATATAAACCAAATAGCTTTTCAATATCTCCAGTTTCCTTTATCTGAGAAATAAAATCTGGGATAAATTAATACAATTGGAGAAATAATGTTTGTAAAATTGTTCTGGTGTACTACAGAAGTAAAACCTACAAAATCAATGCACCCAGAAACCCACTTGTCTTTGAGTACAGTGACACTTGGGTTATTATTTATAGAGCACTCCCAGTTATATATTTACTCCTAGGGTTGAATGAAAAAAAAAATTAGTGAATCTTTAAGAAAGTATGCTGGATAGACCAGATCACAACACAAAATGACTAATCTTTTGCCAAAGCAATGTACCAAGAGCTAATTAGAAAAGGTGAAGTGAATTTTGCTGGAGAAAGAGTAAGCATATTGGGAAGGGAAGTTAAGATGAACAGGAGTAAGGGAAACCTTTAGAAAAGTGGTGGTAATTAATTTGAGCTGAACCTTAAGCCTTCTTCAGGAAGGCAAGGTGAGGCAAAACAATCCAGAGAGACATATATGCTAACATGGAAGTCAAATTTACAAAACAGAAGCCTAAGTGGTCCACAGGTGAAGGTACATCTACAATGATACTTTATTGGACAACCAAAATTACTGACCTCTGAAATGGGAAAGATGTCAAAGGCCTATCTTAGGGTGGGGTGGGGTAGGAGGGGGTAGAAAAAAATTTGAGGAAATCTCTAAGGCAAATGATAAAACTAATTCATTCTAAAATTCATTTACTCAATATGAAGACATGTATCTAATGTTTAAACAAAAAGAGAGATCTGCAAACTCATTTTCCTCCCCAAAGGCAATCAAAGGTGCATCTTTTAAGCCTCTTCCTATATTCAACTCTTACCAGTTAATAAAAATGGACAAAATCTGAGATTCCAGAGAATTTAAACCTTTAGCAACAGGGAAGACTAGATATACAAACCAAAGTTGAATCTATTCATTCATCCTAAATTGGAACAAAGGGTCACAGATATGTAATTTGAACTCTGAGCAGGTTTGCAACAGCCTGGGGCTTTCATTGCGTCTAAGCAGAGGAGTCATAGAGTGTGAGTGAGGAATGGAACTCAGCACAGTTTCTTAGTAAGTTTTTAGTCTCTGTGTTTAATTGATGAAGACACCTCTTATATGTGGCTTAGTAACATTGTGCTTTTCTGAAGTTCCAAAGCATAGATTGCGTTGTCTTATAAGTAATGTTTTCCTTCTCCATAGACACCAGGATGACCTTGATGGCTGTCTGCTCTCAGGGTCTCATTCTCACCTGTCAAATTCTGATCTTATGACCCCCTTTTTCATTTTCACTTTTCTTCTGGATGAAAATTCTGTTTTTATAATCTAAGCATGATGACCTTCACACAAAAAAATTACTCATATGAAAAGTACCTTCGATCTACCTCTATTTAATGTTCTTTCTTAACTTGTTTTTAAATTATAAAAACGTTTTCTGAAGTTGGTGTTTGTTTGACTTTTGTTTTGTTATTCATGTACCTGTTTGCCTGTAATCAGAGTTGTCATCTAATATTATATTTGCCAGAAACCAAATCCTAGTTACTTGTGTAACTTGTTTTGTAAATACCCCTCATGTAGATACTAAATAAATGCTGAAAAATGAGGATAATGATGATGCTTCAAAACACAAGTTATCTTCTATAATATGGTTCTGTTATTTTAATAATTTTAAAATGATTTTAAATGCACATTTTTATCTAAACTGAACCACCTTTAAAATATTTTACAAATATCAAATCATGTTGTACACCTGAAACTAATATAATGTTATATGTCAATTGTATCTCAATACAAAAAAAAAAAAAAAAAAAAAAAAAAAAAAAAAAAAAAAAAAAAAAAAAAAAAAAAAAAAAAAAAAAAAAAAAAAATTTAGCCATTCAAATGTTCAGAACCTTTGAAACCAACATTGTATTTTTGGAATTTATCCTAAGATGATTATCAGAAAAAAGACATATCTATGTGCAAAAATGTTCACTAAAGTTTTATTCATAATAACAAAATATATAAATAACCTAAATCTCAAACAATAGGAAGTGGATAAATAAGATTGGTATATACATATAATGGAACATAATTCAGCTGTCAAAATTCATGCTGATAGTATAATGTTAAGTTAAAATAGAATACAAAATCATGATCAAATAATCCTATTTTAAAAATCATAAGCACATAGAAAGAAAATAAATTGAGGAAACACCCAAATGCCAGTCAATAGAACTCTAGTTAAATTTTCTAAATGTACATTCATACAATAAAATGCCATGTAGCTATTCAAAAAGAATAAAGCGGATCTGTGCTTACATGGAATAAAAAAGAGAAGAAGAGAAATTGAAACAGTAAATACTAAAATGCTGACATATTGGTTTCTTCTAAATGGTAGAATTATAAGTAGTGTTTTCTTTATTTATATAGAAATAAACCATTTTATTTCATTTATAAAACTATAAATCATTTTCTCCAATGATTAATTTATAATAAGGAAAAAAAAACAGACATTTTTAGAAGTACTCTATAATCTCCCAGTCAAGTCTGGTATTTTATTTATATTACTTTTGTATTAAACTTTAAAAATGTCTGACTTCCCATGGTCATTCACTATTAGGTAAAGCGAAGCAGCTATTTTTCTACTCTTTAGTGTTTGTTTCAAATGAAAAGTTGAATCCAGTAAATATGAAATTTTGAATTATCTACTAACTTCATTTCATGCTATTCTTATTTCTCTGATAGTGAAAGAGTTAGTGAGTTGCTTTTAGTGTCTCTCCTATGTATATTTCTAGGCTCAAATGTAAGATTTAGAAAAGTCCTGCAAGAAAAATGAGAATGCAGAAATTTTTATTACAATATTAAGTATGAAATAAATCATACTTTTTCCCTTCAAAATTACTAATTACATTTTCAAAAAATAAAACAACATTCAAAAGTTAATGCCATTGTGTCCACACCTAAGCTATTTCTACATATGAATAGTAAATACAAAGTTTTCACATGGTCCTACCTGAGTCTTGGTACAACCATTGCATTCTGACCAAGGGGCATAGGAAGCCCACTGGCAATTGACTGGCGAGGAGGCACTGTCATAGTGTCAAATTGTCCATCATAAAGCCGACAGAAAGGTAGGAGAGAAGAAAAAAAATTGGCAAGAATAGTCAAAAATTGCTTCACGATTTTTTTCCTAAGAGGCACCAAGAGGATCCCAAAATATATAAAAATATATGTGGGAAGGACTCACTTTTTCAGAGATTTATTAAATATCATTTATGAAATACCTAGAATGTACCAGGCACTATTTAGACACTAGAGCTATAAACATAAAAGAGATAGGATACTGACAATTGGTAGAGGGGAGGATGAAGACATAGATGTGTAAACAAATAATCATAACACAATAATATAATCATGATCCTTTATACAGTATAGCTAATGAGGTAGATTTCCTAACAGAAATGTGTACAGTATAATGCGTTGTGGAAATACACATAAGGGAGTGTCTAAAGTTGGGAGGCTAAGTGAGAACATATAGAAGGAAGGTATTATGGCCTTTGACAGGATTTTGGACGATGAATTGAAGAGCTATACAGAAATTTAACCGAGAGACAACAAGCTCTAAAATGACCATATGAGAAGTAGGAAACCAAAATCTGGCAAAGGCTAAATGGACAAGAATTTAGTTTTACGTGCTCCCCCTGTTTATTTAGGTCACTTCTCAAGCACACACCCAAGTACAGTAGTGTCAAGTTGAGCTCAAAGAATTCCACCCAAATAAAATACATGTGGAAAATGGCAAGTTGACTCTCTTAACAATGCTTAACTCTGGCTGTGTCCAAGAGGTCATGTTGCTTAGTCCAAAGAGATTAAGGAAGCCTTACTTAAAACCACACTTTACAAGGGGTAGAGGAACCAGGACTTCTGCTTTCTGGACTTTGAGTACATTCCTAACCTGGGAGACATCTCAGGTCAAGGTGATTCCTGCTTAGTTAAGCATAGCACTGCCAGGTGCTGCAGATAAGGAGTCCCATTTGTGGCTCAGGTGCCCTTATGGGGCTAACCTTGCTAACCTGTAGTCTTGATATGGCATCAGTGATCCAAATGCCTTAGTGTTTTTGACCTTTAAACAATCTGAACTTAATGCTATGTGTCTATTTTGTCTCCCAGAGACAGGCAGAGGCCTTCCCCAAACACCGAGGCTTAGGAAGGGAAGCTCGCTTGGCCTCACCTCCTCTGTGCACCCTGTCCAGTCCCCTCACAGAGCCCTTATCACACCTGCCTTGAAATCAACTCTTTCAAGATCTCAGTCACCCCCTCTACTCTCAGTACCGTCTGGCTCCTCTGTGTCCCAGTCACTGGCACAACTCCAGACACATGTTCTGACAGTTCGATGAGGTAAACCGACCTGGTCCTCTCCCATCAGACAGTGAAAGCAAAGCAAGGCCGTGAGTAAATGATGCTGGCTTTTTTCCAGGTCTCAAGAGCCAATAAACCTATTTTCTTAAAAAAAAAACTCTCAACTTTTAAAATCCCAAAGACTATTTTGCAAAGATTACATTTAAAAATCAAATTCTGCTCTAAGATATGTTAAGTCAGCTGCCATTCCCTGAATTGCAGGTAAAACCATGGTACTGGGAGAAGCAGGAAGCCTTGAGGTGTTTTTAGTCTTCAGGTTTCTTCCTTACAGGGAATAAAATAAAGTAAAATAAGAATAAGAATAAAACACGCTTTCTCTATAATTGCCTTTTCTCAGAAAGGGAAAGAAAAAAAGTGTTGAAGGGTTAAACATGCTCAGCCTGCAATGTAAAAATCAGACCATACTTAAGAATTTCCTTAAATAAAATAAATGATTGTTAATGATTTCCACACACAATCCAAAAAATTCTCACCTTGAAAAAACTTGGAACTCTCCTATAAATCCCACCAAGAAGAATAAACTTATAGCCTAGGAGGGGAAACAAAAAACAATAAAGCAATATTTTAGTTAGCATTGCTTTAATGAGTCAAAAGTGAATACATCTGTACAAGTCAAGATTTGTGAGTTGGGAATAGAAAGAGTGAAAGAACCATGGAAAAGCCTCGATGATTCTGCTTGACTTGTAAGTTTTCATTTTAAATAAAAATTTAATACAATTCTCTTTTTTATTTATTTATTTTTTGGCCCCATTGGGTCTTTTATTGCTGTGCGTGGGCTTTCTCTAGTCGTGGAGAGCAGGGTCTACTCTTCGTTGCGGTGTGTGGACTTCTCATTGCGGTGGCTTCTCTTGCTGCGGAGCACGGGCTCTAGGCATGCGGGCTTCAGTAGTTGTGGCGCACGGGCTTAGTTGCTCCGCGGCATGTGGGATCTTCCCGTGCCAGGCCTCGAACCCGTGTCCCCTGCATTGGCAGGCAGATTTTCAACTACTGCACCACCAGGGAAGTCTCTAATACCTTTCTCTTGAGTTCACCTCCCATTATTCATTTCTGGAAAGACAACTAGGGGCTAGGTGATGTCATTGACAAATAAATTGAAAAGACTCCCCAGAGTTAAATGTTCACAAACATTTCTTTAGGGTCCCATCATCTTTTAATTCCTTACTCCACTCTCTTCTGTAACTTTGGTACCCATGAGGACACCAGAGAAGAGAAAGCCTGGAAAGAAGAACAGTTCCAAGGGCTGAGAAGCTAAAAGAGAAATAGCTTCCTAAGTGGAAAAATCAAAAGTGGAGGTACATTCCTAGCCAGAGGTGCTGTGATACTCATCACAATCCTTAGTTCTGCAGGTGGTTCCTTCAGTCTTTAAAACACCACAGAGGCCTTTTATAATCACATTCATGTGATAGCAGCAGCCTAAATATTGAGCATCTGACAGGTTATGAAACTGAACATAAAATGTGATTACATTTTGTTTGAAAATCAAATGTGTATTGAAAACAAATCTCCAAAGAAACATAACAAAGGAGAATAGTTCATTTCTGGTTGTGAAATCATAGGTGACTTTTATTATTTTATTTTCATTTCTATGTATTTTCCTACTTTGACAACTGAAGGTGAAAGGAAATACAATTCAAATCTGTACTGGAGACTCCTTAAAAATATCAAACACATTCAATTCATAACCCAGTAAAAAAGTCCTTAAATCATTTACCTCACATTTTACCAGGCCAATGTTCTTTCTCTTCTCTTGATCTCCCCATACCTGTTTTCTCTCAGGGTAGCTGTGGAATGGCTTCCCAACACTTTTTCCAGACCCTTCTACTCCCCTTCCTAGATCACCCATCCTCTTATTAGGTATCTTTTTTTCAGTTGCAAAATCCTAGTTGCCTACTTCTGCCTTTTACAGCCTTACAGATTTTTTAGCCTATAATCTGATTAACATAACCAAAAGGGCAGAGAGGTACCAACAGCTGTGGGCACCCTGGAAATGTGAACAATGGTGGGAGAGGCTATGGATACTTTTCTGATTTTTCAACAAACACGTGAAGCACATAATGGAAAGCAACACCTTTTTTTTTTTGCGATTTGCGGGCCTCTCACTGCTGTGGCCTCTCCCGTTGCGGAGCACAGGCTCCAGAGGCGCAGGCTCAGTGGCCATGGCTCACGGGCCCAGCCGCTCCGCGGCATGTGGGATCCTCCCGGACCGGGGCACGAACCCGTATCCCCTGCATTGGCAGGCGGACTCTCAACCACTGCGCCACCAGGGAAGCCCGGAAAGCAACACCTTTTAAACGCTGGGTTTGTTTTTTGTTTAATTATAAACTGCAGTGGGTTGTTTCTTTTCAACGATATGTCTTTTTTTGTACTATGTCAACTCATTTTTCCTGCCCTTGGGCCAGCCTATCTCACAGCTCTTTTAGTCACTCCCAGGCGTTCTGGAACAATCTAACAGTCAAATTTCAATGTATCATCCAATTTTCAATGTCTATCCTACTCCCAGGTCCTGCGGGAGGGGTGGGGTCCACTTCAAAATTCCTCTGCTTTATTCTCCTTCCTCTCTTCCCCACCTCCCCAGGATGACTGTCTTCTCCAGAGTCAGCGCAGCACGAGTGAGAGGGGCAAAACCCAAAGGGATCTTGCTTGCCTGATGCAGCTGGAGTCTAGTGATGGTAAATCAGGGTGTGTTGGATGTTTGAATGCCAATTCTTTATCTCTCATGGTGTTTTTGTCATTCTTTGGATATCCCTCCTTTGGGAATCTACAGCCACTGTTCTCTGGCACAAATGATTCATCTCTTTGTTCAGCTCTCTTGAGTCTCACCAGTGCCTGTTTCCTGATGCTGTCTGCTGGGGTTGCTTCATCCTGCAGGCGTCTCCCAGGCAGAGTCCCTGACAACCCAAGTCTGGCCCCTTTCTAAAGGTCCACATCTGGTCCATGGGATACCTGCACACATCCTTGCCCTGTCAAACTCTGGATGTCAGGATGTAACCAATACTGCTGTTGACTTACTTGCTAACCACAGGGCAGTGAACCAGCCTATGCCTTTAGATTTTCTCAAATGTGAGTAGGGTATCATTCCCTATACACCCTCATGCTCCAAGGGACACAATATTGCATACTTTTGAGGATGGAGATGGCCAAAGGGTCACCAAACAAATTTAGGGCTACTCTTTTGGTATTGCAATAATACTGCATTGAATGTACAATATCTCACTTTAAAATGTGAGGGTACTGAGCACCTATTATTATTGGCCTTTGACTCTCAGGCAAAACAGGCATCGTGAAAAAATCCATTTTAACATTCTATTACACATTTTTTTAAATGTCAACGAAGTTTTAAGGGATATACTTTTTCATCAGAAAAGATAACCTTGCCACCATCTTTTTTTTTTTTTTTTTTTTTTTGCGGTATGCGGGCCTCTCACTGTTGTGGCCTCTCCCGTTGCGGAGCACAGGCTCCGGACGCACAGGCTCAGCGGCTCACAGGCCCAGCCACTCCGCGGCATGTGGGATCCTCCCGGACCGGGGCACGAACTCACGTCCCCTGCATCGGCAGGCGGACTCTCAACCACTGCGCCACCAGGGAAGTCCGACCACCATCTTCCTTGTATACATATTATAACCCATGAAGATCTGCTTATCACAAGTTCATGAGTTATACAAGCTGAATCTCTTAACCAAAAGAATGTCTTGAAAATTTGCTAGCTGAGTACCTGAAAATGAAGCAGTTATCATTCCTTGCCTTTGGAAAGAGTATCTCATCAAATGGACAAGATAGAACAATTACAAATTAATAAACAAATTAATGACAGATATAGACATACATCTGAGTTAACTCTATAAAAGAATTGCTTAGTTGAAAAGATATCGTATCTTTGCAGTGTGTAATGTAGCTAAGCTGGGACTACATTTCCCAGAATTCTCTTCTCTTCTTTCTTATGACTGAATGAGCATTAGCTCTACCTCCTTCCTCTAAAGTGTTCCAGCTACAACCATTGTCTCTATGCTTCTAATTTCTCCACATCTGGTCTTTTACATTTGTCTGTTGAATCATGAGCCCAGTTGAGGTAAAAAATAAATAAAATATTAATTTCTGTAGCATACACTGGGTTCCAAATATCCAAATTCCAAGAGAAAAAAGTATGGAAAAATCAAATCTAATTTCTTATCATGCCCTAATTAATATCTTGATCAATAAATTTAGAACATAGGGCACCAAACAGATGAGGAAGAAGGTAGATTTTAAAATCAATTTACTTACATCTTTATCAGAAATAGACATCAATTTGCAACACTTCTAGCGATAAAGAAATGCAAAAGGGCACAATAATATGATTTGAGTACTTTGTAGCCATTAGAAGCACGTTATAGATTGAACAATGACAGGAGAACATGCTTATGATATAGTGAGTAAAAAGATTCAGATCTAGATTAATAGCAATTTCATAAAATATATTTTGTACATGCTCATATAAAAGTCTGAAAAGAAATAGATTAAAATGTTAATAGTGGTTATCTCTGAGTGGAGAAATAATCGATATTATCTTCTCTTTGAACTTATTTTTGCCAAGATGGTAGTATTATAATCTGGAAAAAGACATTTTTTTAAAGGCACAAACACCATCACAGTATAATTGACAGAAGACAGCTGATAACATCAGATTAGCTCTGGGTGTGGCGAGGAAGCAGAAAAGCCCTCATCTGAGACATCTCTGTGCCTGACCACATCCCAGCACCATGTGAATCATGCCTTAGGTTTACAAACCCCAGGTTCATCTCAGTCCACGGAAGAGAAAGTGAAGGTATGGACCACAGCCAGCTCAGAGGGAAACACTTTTTGCTCTAAAGTCCTGAAACACTTCAGACCCAGTTATCTCCTATCCAAGGGATACAAAGAGAATGAAAAGAATTCTGGGACCACCTCTCTGAATTTAGTTCACATGAATGTGGGGGGGGGGGGGGCCGCGGGGGAGAAAAAAAGAATACTTCCTCTTAAAAGGCCAGACCTGAAAACCATTTCTAGTGGTGTCTTCATAGCCTAAGTTTACCTTCTCTGAAATGTATGACAAAAGCATAGCCTTCAGATTTACTGTAAAAATACGAATCTCTACTTTCAAATATAGGTGAGAACTCTGCATGCAACTCACAAAGAAATCATTTCTTTATTTGTTGATATTTTATCAACCAACTGAAAGATAAAAGTAAATATGTTACCCCAGCAGAAAAATGTCATAATAATCAATGATCCATCTTTAAGCACAAAACAATTATTAAGATGTCTCATCATAAAATAAGTAAGGAAATTGACTGATGGTTAATACAAATATTAGGTGAAAGTATACTAGCTAGATGACTCTAGGAAATGCATCCTATTCTTTTTGAGCTAACAAGCATTTAAAATTTTTAAATAAAAATACAAGATAGAGTGATAGAGATTAGATTATATCATAATTTTAACTTTGTATGGTTACTTGACGTTCTAGCATCATAACATTAAACAAATTAACTTTATGATTTGTGTGTAATTTTCAATAACTTAATTAAATGTAATTTCACCCATGAGTTACTCAAGACCCATCTCTCACTCCGCCTCCAAAGCCCCTGGAAAGTGAGCGTAGATTCAGTATTGCAAATCGGTGGCATAGTGATGACAAAAGAAATCTAGCAGCTGACAGGGCTGAGAAATTATTGTTCCAGCATTATAATGTAAAAATTTTTAAGTTTAAATACAAACCTCTGCAATAATAAAATTGTAATAGCAGGTTCAACTTATTTTTGCATCCCAGAATTCTAGTCTATGATAGTGATTTCTGTCTTCAGTCCTGCATTTCTTTATCCTTAACATTTGGCCATTTTCCATTAGACCAATATGTGTTTTTGGTAAACCTTTAGTTTCATTCCATTTATCTGTATCTTCTACTCTCACAAGCCTTATCTTCTTATCCAGATTCCAAACTCTAAAGTTGCAAGTCTCCAAATTCAATTTTCTATAAAGCTCTTAGGTAAGTCAGATCATGGGGGTTCATTGCGTGACTCCAACAAAATCCGTGGGAGGGAATTTTTCCCTAAGGAATAACAATTGTATTATTGTATTTTATTTCTTAATGGCTTTCTTGGGACTTTCATAAACATTGTCTCCAATCTCTGATTCCCAGAACTCTAAACCAATAAATTAACTGCAAGAAAAGAAAAACAAATTCACTTTGGCTGATTTGTTAACTATATTTAATTAAGGATTTTTTTAAAGTCACCCTCGGAGATTTCTCTTTCTTATTTTCCCATGTATTCTCTTTTTTTTTTTTTTTTGAGTTATTTAAGTTAAGCCTTACTCCCTTTTGAGTTAGCTTCGTTCACAAAAATAATGAAGTTAACTTACCTTCATGTTCGGGAAAATATTCAGGGCAGAAGACAGAAGGAAAATTTCCTCCTCCAGTGCCCAGTGAATTTTCAACAGGAGGAAGAGCCCAGCAGTCTACTCCCTGCCTGTCTCTCCCTGCTGGGGATTCACTTGGCACTCATATATAGAGCAAGTGGTTCCAAGACTTAGCTTTGACCCCAACCAGGTTCTCTGGGGACACGGAGAGCCTGCCCTGTACTTAGTCTGTGTCTTGAAACCAGATGCATCTTATCAATTTACCCAGGCCTTAGCTACAGTCAGCTGGGACTGTTTGGAAGTGTAGTTCTGAGAAAACATCTGTAAATCAAGAAAAGCAGCAAATCTTCTCACTTCAGTGTTTAAGTGATTTTCAACCAAAGGAGACACTGTGTAAGGCAAGGGATAAGCCTCCTTCCTGTTTCAATCTACCACGCCAAGCAGATGTTTTCATGATTCTCTAAAAGGGTGTTATACAACAGACTTTGAGATTAAACACTTTGTGGAAGAAAAAATTTAAATGCAATTCTGTCACTCAAAATGTAAATGGAACATTCTGGAGTGGAATCCCCCCCAAATATATATATCCTAACACAATATAATGCACAGCCCTTCATGCTTGACTTTCAATGATCAAATGATCATTGAATGATCAAAAAGAGCATCTTTTTTTGCAAACATATATAAAGGCATCACTAATTTCCCCAAGAACAGCCCTTAATCCTATGATATTCAGATCCCTCTGTTGGAAAATTCTTGTCACAGTCATCAACCAGGTCTATGTTCTCTTCTTCAGTTGCCTTGTCTTATTCTGCCAGATCTTCACTTTCCATGGCTTTGCATTGATTCTAGCACTTCTCCAACATCACTTTCATAGATTTCACAAAAGCCTGCATTTTTGCAAAATTTCAGATTTTCTATTAAAGTTGAGCTACAGTCTTTTTGGTTTTTTTTTTTTTGGTTTTGGTTTTGGTTTTTTGTGAGCTACAGTTTTATTTGCATGGTTTGACCAAATATTCTGAAACTTGCTGTTAGGGCATTATGGGTAGGAGTGACACAAGTGTGAAGGAGGAAAGGAAATTTGAACTGAGAGTAATTTTATAACTAAACATTCCATTTGTGAATATTTTCCAGTTTTAATATTTTTTCTTTTTATATCCAAAAAATTTGAATAATAAAGAACGACCCCCACCCTGTATTTATAAATTAATGGTGGTCTTCCAGAGGAAAAAGTTCCACATCTTTTGTTCAAACTGTTAGTGCTTTGTGTGGGAAAAAATTTGACACAGAGAAGATGATGTCTGATTCCTGAAAGAGTTCTTTTTTTTAATTCAACTCCAGTTGTCATGGACTCTCCTTAAGCACTCAATGTACAATTCCACATTCAGTGGCTGTCTTAGTTTGGGTTCCCCCATAAGCAGATCTGAGACAAGAATTCAATTTCAAGCAGTTTTTTTTTTTAGTTTTTTTGGTTTGGGGGTTTCTTGTGTTTTGGGGGTTGTTTTGTGAAGTGAAGTGATCCTAGAAAGCACTGTTGCGGGATAAGAAAGTGAGACTGGGAAGGAAAGGAAGTCAATACAAGGTACTTTAACATGCAAGATACTGAGGCAATTATAGCCCAGTCCCAATGAGGAAATCTGGGAGACATTGAATAGCACGTCTCAGAGTTATTCCAACGAGGGGGTAAGGCTATATTTACCAACACCCTGTTTATCATTGGTTAAGGGTGGCTTCTGGACTCATCAACTCTCTGACACTTCCAGCTTGAACTGGGGGTAGGTTGAGAACACATCTGTAGCCAGGAAAGAAAGAAAAAAAAAGACTTCCAGTAGAAAGTTGCAGGTATTTTCAGTATTTGCAAGATACAGGCAGGACACCACCAACACCTGCCACAGCAGTTTTTCCATTTATTCACGCATGCGCTCATTAATTTGTTCATTCTAAATTCAACAAATATTTACAAAGGTTGCATAATATGATAGGCTAGGGGCTTTGACAGATGGGAGGCTTGAGCAACATCTTTCTTTATTTTCACCGTTTACATGCTATAAAGATCATAGTAGCCCATTTATAGAGTTTCCTTAGTCTAGAGGATGAGTCACACACATACCGATGTATCTGCGATAATTTAGAACTTGCATTGTTTGGCTTCCAGAGATTGTATGCCAGAAATTAAATCTAAAAAGTTTACAAAAACTTCCTTTCACCAAGTGCTTTGCACTTGCCCCTCTCCACAGCTTTGCTCTCATATGAACAGTGTTTTTTCTTTCTGGAATTTCAATGGAGGAGCCATTGGAACAAAGGTTTCAAATATAGGTGGGAACCACACTGTGGGAAATTTGACTGCCAGAAAAAGTTGTGTAGACTTTATTCAAAGGACAGTGGGAACTCACTCACTGGAAGTTTTAAGGAAAGAATCAAAGTGATGTTTTAGGATGATTTAAACACTGGTAGTGTGCAGGCTGCATGGAAAGGACAAGGAGAGGAAACAGGAAGTGTGATTTGGAATTTATTTCAGTAATCAGACAAGGGGCAATCAAGGCCTCATTTGAGAAAAGAAAGACGAAGGACCAGAGGGTTCACCAGACTTAGTGATTAAACATAATCACGTATCAGACTGACTGAGAAAATTGGAAGAATTTAAGAACAAATCAATGAAGGAGGGAAATAGGAAGTTGATGAGAAAGAGGTAGTTTTAGAAAAGGGACATTTTTATTTTGAAGAAAATATCCAACACATAACTGGAAATGTAGATCTCTTTGGGACAAAATATCTTGGCATGAGGGAGAGAGGTTGCAGAAGAAGGAAAACCAAAACAATTCATTGTCAAGCCAACGGAGGGGAATTTCAAGGAATGGCCAGTCAACATAAACAAGTGCCACATGGAGGTCAAAGAGAAGTATTAAGGGAAGCCCACACCACGCAGCAATTAAAACATTGTGGATAAACTGAAGGCAAAGTTTCCGCACAGATTTTCCACTCTAGTCCTACAAGACAATTCAAGAAGAGATAATTAATTTCGTGGTTGAATGAGTATAACAAGCTGTGTATGTTATAGAGCAGGGTTTCTCAATCTCTGAGTTGCTGACCTTTTGGGCTTGATCATTCTTTTTGGTGGAGTGGCGGGGGTTGGGGTGGGGGGGGGGGGC